GGGGAGAAGTCGATCCTCCCCCTGAAAACACTGCACATCCACTTTAATAACTGGCGCGTTTTTTGAAAATTTGGGTTAGAAGGTGATCAGGAGGAAGCCAAAGTCCAGCAACCCAAACAGAGGAATCTTCACGGGAAGGGGTTTCCCGACTACCAGAAGAGCCGGTTAGCGCAGTTTTTTTCATTCAGCTTCCAAGGCCACACCAAATGTCTCAACAAGATCCGCAGATGAAAACAAGGGGGGAATAAACTACCCTCGCTCGAGGTCCCAGTCGACCATGTAGAGCTTCTAACCCAACGAATATTCCCCTCCCCCTCCATAAAATATGCTGTAGAACCTTTCCTTGCTCGCCTGTCCAGCAAAAAAGGGTCCTCTTTTCGGGAAACTCCATATGGTGTATCCATCCAACACGTCACCCGCACATATGGTTTTTCGCTTGGGCGAAAAAATTTTTGGGGTGCAGTAAATCCTCTGATAAGGGATTCCGAAAATGAATTCCAAACCGACGGCAAGGGGTGAAAATTTTCAGAACCAAGTTAACGCAAAATGGCTTTGGGAAATTAAAAATGAAACTTCTAATTACACAACAATATAATTCATAAAAAATGTCAGCACTAATTAAATTGTTTCTTCAGCAGCAATTAAACTATACACACTTATTATCCAGATTGAATTACAATTACAATAGATTTTTCATATCGCTAGTCAGAAAATATGTATTCGACAACTTTAATAGAAAGAGGGATAAAATTAAGTTACCTTAAGTTAAGAAAAATTGAACACACCAAAAGTGCAGCAACAAGGCTTTAAAATAATTAAAGATAAAAGTTAAACAACCTTAAGGGTCAAAACAACAAGATACAAAAACCAAAAATCGTAAGTCCCTAAACTCAAATTAAAATTAAACAACTTCAACTCAAGAAAACTTTTAAAGCAACCAAACCTAAATTTAAAGTTTACAAAAGTTACAGTTTAAATTTACAACCAACTTTTAAACAAAACAAAAAAAAATTTAGAACTTAATTACAGATCAAAACTAAAATAATAAGCAAAACTTAAGCTTGAAAATAAAAAAGATTAATACACAACATTTGTAAATTGTGATAACCACTCATTAAATTTAGTAGGAGTCACTGCAGCTAAGCAAGATCCAATCGTTACAACATGCTTTGGAATAATTGAAAATATATATCTCTTTTTCTCACATTACGACGGGAATTATTAAAAAAATGCTTTAAAGAAAACTGTTAAACGTGAATCTGAAACACGATGGTGCGCCAAAGCAGAAGCGGTTAGCGTTATTGTTGGAGAACTGGAAGAATTAGTAGAACTATTAGAAAAATTAGCAGAGGATAGTACTACCACAAGCAGCACCAGAAGTGAAGCTGAACTTTTATTACAAAATATGCATAATTTTACACTCGTGTCCATAAATTAAGGATAATTCGGAGTCAGGCGGAAATCGAACTCTAAAATAAATATATCACCTGTAAAATCACTACACACATCTTCAAGAATCATATGCAAATTTCAGGAAGTAACCAGATGACATCGATGGTACGTCACAATGACGAGAGTGTAAGAGTGTGATATATAAGGAATACAGGCAAAGAAGTAAAATTGTTCGCAGGTGCTTTATAAGCATTTCAGTGCAATAACCGAATAGTTATGACACAAAGGACGCATTTGGGTAATTTTTTACGTGGTAGAATTATCGGCCGTGTGGAATGCGGGCGTACCCAACTGGAAGTATCAGACGAAATTGGAACTGACCAGAGATCTGTCATGGCTTTTGGCAACGATTCCAAGATGATGGTTAATGTGAGTAGACATTACAGCACAGGGCGCCCCAGAGTTACAACGCCGAATGAGAACCGGTATTTGGCAGTTACTGCAAAAAAGAAACAGGCGGAGCACAGCCTCAGACCTGTCTCGTCAGCTCTCTTCAGCCACTGGTACGACAATTTCAAGGCAGACCGTGTACAGACGCTTATGGCAGATTGGTTTATATGCTCGTAGACCTGTCAGATGCGTTCCACTTACTGCAACTCACTGTCGCCTACGGTTAGACTGGAGTAGAGAGCATGCATTGGTGGACACCGCAACAGTGGGCTTGTGTGATGTTTTCCGACGAGTCCAGGTTTAGCTTGCAGTCTGATTCTCGCAGGACTTTCATATGGAGAGCTCCAGGTACCCGTTACCACCAAGAAAAACATCATTGAACGACACCGTTACGGTGGTGCGGGAGTGCTCGTTTGGGGTGGAATTATTCTGGTTTTCAGAACTGACCTGCACGTTCAAATTGAACCATGACAAGCCAAATCTATCGGGACGTCATTCTGGAACAACATGTACGTTTGTTTCGGGGCGCCATGGGCGCACAATTTGTGTTTATGGATGACAACGCCCGTCCTCACCGTGCAAACATCGTAAGCGAATGCCTTCAATCGGAGGATATCACCCGTATGGACTGGCCAGTATTCTCACCGGACTTGAATCCAGTAGAGAACGTGTGGGATATGGTTGGCCGACGAGTTGCAGCCCGTCAACCTCCTCCTACATGCCTACCAGAACTTCGGAGAGCATTGCTTTTTGAGCGGTGTAATATCCCCAGGATCAGATCGATAATTTGATACTCAGCATGCCTAGGCGTTGTACTGACTGTATCGCATCGTCTGGGAGACATACAATGTATTAACAATCGTACCAACCATGTAATATTTGTTTTTTTGTAAATAGGTTTTTTTTTTAATTTGCTCCAGGGAGAAAAAACGCTATTTTTTTTAATAATAGCAAACATATATCATCTTTTTTTGCTCTTTACTTTTTGTTTAATAAATAAACTTTACAAATAAGTCAAATTAGTTTTGCTTCTAACTCTTCCTTTGCCTTATTTTGCATTATCCTTAATTTATGGTCATGAGTGTAGTTTCATAACTTTAGTCCATTTCTGGCATAAAATCTTGAGAATTGATAGTGTGCAGCTTAGGTTACAAGTTCCCAAAATGAATACAACAGAAAAGGCTAAATCTCTTTGCGAAAAAAATGGGGTAATGATACAACAATAGAAGTATTAGAAGGCGCGGAAAAATGCCCGGAGAATTGTCGAGAGCGTTGGCCTTTCCGCAGAAAGTGAAATTTCTGCGTTCTTGATCGTCTGCAGAAGGAAATAAATAAGCGATTCACACGACTAAGTGATCTTAACTCCAAATTTGGATTTTTACTGGACGTTGAAAAGTTATTAAACAAGGGTAATGTTGATAACGATCTTGAAAAGAATTGTAAAAATTTGGGTGAATTTTACAATACAGATTTTAATGAAACAGAACTCTATGTCGAAATATGTGATTGCAAGATGTTACTCCACAGTAGAAAAGAAATTGAACTTAAAACTCCATTACAGCTTCTTTCCTTTATAATATCGTATGGAGAAGATGTTTTTCCAAACCTGAGAGTCGCTCTACAAATTCTCCTTACTATTTCAGTATCAATAGCTGTGAACGTTCGTTCAGGAAATTAAAATTAATTTTGACACATCTACGATCAAACGATGGGACAAGATCGTGACCTAGTAGTTTTAAGTGTAGAAAGAGAAAAATTTGAAATGATCGACTTTGATGAAGTAATTGACAAATTTGCTTCATCCAAGGCAAGAAAAATATATATCTAATAATTAATTGTATTCATTTATTATAATATAATGTTATATTATTATTAATATAGCGACCTTATATATATTAACTTTTAAATTGTTTGAAAATTGTACCTTTTTTATAAATAAGTACATAAAGTAAATAACATCTTATTCTAGATGATTGTATGTCCGATTTTTTCTACTGACAGGCAGATTTCCGAATCCAATTCCAGTATTGGTTTTTTGACAAGATTCTTTTGTCTCAAATTTAAAGCCTAATCTGAGCCTGTGTCCCTATATATCTCGAAAAACAGTACGGTATTTCGTAGACGAGTACTTGCAGTGACTATTCGTAATATATTATAGAACATTTTAAGCTAGGTACTTTAATCTTTTAATTTTGTCTTATATTCTTATTAGGAGTATATTCTATATATTACAGTACTATATGTTTTTCGGGGATGGGCAGAAAGGTATCGTGGCCCGGGCTCCAGTTATACGCCGCTGATTCTGATTCTGGATTCTATTCGAGTGCTAACAGCCGAGCTGGTAGGACGTGTTTTTGACGTGCTGTTCGTACCTTGCCGTGTTCGAGTGTTATAATCGCTGGTGTGTTTTTTTCGAAGTGCTTTGCCTACGGATGAGATAGGCGCATGATTTTGTGTGCAGTTGTGAGTCTCTGAATAGTGATTTCATGTTACGACGGATTGTGTTTCTACTGCTCAGTGTGTGCTTCTAGTTTCGCTGATTGTGAACCGCCTGGCGATGGCGGGGAAAGACAACTGGCCGCCCGCTAAGATGGATACTGCTGAAGATATTCGACAACACGTGACTGCTTTCCCGATGGATGTTGTTACGTTTGGAAACAATGTGTTAGAAAGCAAATGGAGTGAACTGAAGACGGATAAGTTATCACTAGATGACTTCATGTTAGTCCTACAATCAGTTGAAACTCTATTGACATGCTTACGTATGATGAAAATGGATTTCGAGGAGAGTTACTCTAATGCTAGAACTGAACAGGACCAATTTGAAGTTAAATCCAAGTTCCAGATGAAACAAGGGATTGCTGAGAGTCTTCTACAGTTATTTAAAAGTAAGTGTGAGTCTTACGCTGCTGTTCATGCTAAGTATGCTAATATGTCTCTTGCTGAGATTACTTCGCAAGTTGCGAATTATAAGTTAAATTATACTAATTCTGATATTTGTATTATTGAAAATGTATCTAGTGTAAATGAAGGTAATTCAATGTTGATGTTGTTAATTCTAAACCGGAGAATGCTGCAAATAATGCCGCTTCTAAGCCCAAAAGGCCTTTCCAAAAAAATAATAAAAATAAAAAAATAAGCGTTCAACTCAGGAAGTAATGGATTCTGATGGCTTCATTCAGCCTAAAAATACGGCCAGGCCATCAAACCTTCTTAAATATAATGTTGATATTAATGTTAGTAATAAGTTTAATGCTTTGAGTGGAAACGAAAACATGGATGTGCAGGGTGAGCAAGAGGTTGTTGAAATTCTGCCCCCTAAAGGTAAACCAATAATGATAAAGCCCAATATTAAATTCTCGGATATTGTAAAGCAACTTAAAACAGATACCAAACCTGATATTGTAGCAAAAGTAAACGGAGAATTTCTTAAAATTTTTGCAAAATCTGAATCTGATAACAGAGATATTCCGCGTTACCTTGATGAACATACGATTGATTACTACCTAATTGTTAGTAAAACAGAGAAACCTGTTAACGTAGTTTTTAGGGGTCTCCCTATCGATTGTCTAAAGGACGAAATTCATGAAGAGCTTGAGGCGTTAGAGTATAAAGTCAAAAAGGTGTCTCAGATGCACCGGGTAAAATCTAATGTACCTATGCCACTTTTCCAAGTGCAGCTGGAAAATAAGCCCAGTGTTGATAAGATCTATGATTTGACATATTTTATGTGTTTCTATGTTTCTGTTTCTGCATATAACACCTTTGGAAGTGTTGTGCAGTGTCACAACTGCCAACACTTCCACCATTCCGCCGAAAATTGTAAACTCAAGCCCCGCTGCGTTAAATATGCGGGGCCTCATAAGACCGAAAATTGTAAAGCCAAAAAAATTGAATATGTGTTATGTTGTAACTGTAAGCAACTTGGGCACACCGCAAACTATCGTGGGGCCCTAAGTTTCCAAAACCTTTTGAAAATCATTCTGATAAATATAAATAGTACTGATTTTGTCAATTCCAATGATAGTTACTGACTTTGAAAAAAATGATAGTACTGATGTTGATAAAATAGTACTGTTTTTGTCATTTCCAATGATAAGAATGAAACTTATTGCAAAAACTGTAACCCCAGGCGTTAGCTATGCTAGCACACTCAAACGTAGATTTCCTGTTTCAGCTTCCAAGCTGGACAGTAACAAAGATGATAATAATGTTAAAAATATGAAGGATACAGCTAAGGGCACAGATCCCAATGCTGTTATGGATATTTTTAAATTTTTAAAAGAATTGGTTGATATATTTAAGGGTTGTTCCATTGCTTTATCAACAAAATTACTATAAAAATGCCTGAGCTGCAAGCAGCTGAACATACCATTGACAAAATGTTTATATTGTTTGATATTTTTAAAAATGTATTTGGTTTCAAATGTACTGATAATGAATAGTGTTATTAATAATTTTGTTAGCATTTTTATATGGAACGCAAATAGTTTGTCCCGTAGAATTTATGAATGAGGGATTTTATAAATGAGCACAGCCCCGATCTATTCTTCCTACAAGAGCACAGACTTGGCCCATCAAGCCCCATTTCAGTTTCCAACTATTGTGTGTATAGATCTAACAGGGATATTACTGCAAATAGACAGAGAGGAGGTGGAACTGCTCTCCTTGTTAAACGCTGTATTCCCCACCATCAGATAACAATGCCACAGCTTTCAGCCACTGAGGCCTCAGCTATTTCCATCATAACAAACACTGGCACAACATATATTTTTGTTTCCACCTACATACCACCACTGAAGCCACAGGCTGCTGTTGAGTCAGATCTCAACGTTATATTGTTACTTGGAATACATGCTGTTATAGGTGCAGATTTCAACGCTAGACACCGTGCATGGAACTGCTATAATCCAAACACTATTGGCAATGTAATACTCAACTTGGCCCGTCGGGTCCCTTTTCAGATAGCAGCTCCAAGTACCCCAACACGGTATATTACTAGTTCAGCAAGTACTCTGTACTTCTTCCTTCTCAGAAATACCAGCACTCCGCTGGATATTTCTGCGATGGATGAATTGTCTTCAGACCACAATCCGGTCCGTCTGATCTTAGATATTAGTAGTTATACCACATCAGTCAAAAGAGCCTTTAAATCTAACTGGTAAAATTTCGCCAAAGTTCTAAACAACATTCAGTACACTATTTCAGCAGTCCACACGGCGAATGACATTGATAGTTTAGTCAAGGGATTCACCTGCAATATTCAAAATGCATACGAAAGTGCCAGGGTGGAGCTCAAGGTTGAAAAGCCTGTTAGATCTAAGGAGTTGAATGATCTAATCAAAAGACATAATGCTGCCAGGCGGCAGTTCCAAAGAACAAGGAACAGACCGTATAAAACTGTGTTCAATAGATTGTGTGAGGCAGTCAGGTCTCGTACTAACTATTATGCACAACTCAGCTGGGCTGTATACCTTGAGTCCCTTTCCAGGGATGGCAATTCCATCTGGAAAGCAGTTAAAAGGTATAAAAAATGCTGCAATAATATTCCTCCCCTTAAAAGGCCCTCAAACGATCCATTACACTGAAACTGAGAAGACAGAACTTTTAACTCAGCATCTGGAATCTCCGTTTTGCACTAACAACATTCACGAGTCTGCTACAGAACAATTAATTGCTGACTTTCACAGCAAGCCCACACACAGACAACACGTCCTCAGTCGTGCCATCAGAAGTCTGCGCTTATGGTTAAAAAATTGAAAAATAACAAGAGTCCTGGACTCAACGCTATTAACAACAGGGTTATTAAAAGATTTCCGGTCAAGACGCTCCTCTACATCACCAAGATCATCAATATTATCCTGAAGTGGCAACACTTTCCGAACTCTTGGAAGGTAGCTAAGATTACTCCCATTCTGAAACTTCATAAGTCTGTCTGCCAGACAGAATCATACCGGCCAATTAGTTTGCTGTCATCGTTAAGCAAAGTTATGGAAGCGGTTCTGCTGTGTTGAGATATTTGTAATCGCATTCTTACTAGTTAAAAGTAAGTATAGCTTTCTGTCACGTCCGATACATTCATTAGCTTTCAGCCAGGTCCGAGTTATTCTGAAACTTAATCCCATTCTTTATGTTATTTTTGATTGTTTATTTATTGTATCTTGTTTATGATTTGTTAAACCATGATCTGTTCTAAAGTTATATATATCACCTCTGTAGCCGCTTATCGCTGCTTCTACTTATCTGTGCTTGTATTATTCTGCTTGTGCTTATCTCTGCTTGCTTGTATGTCTCTGCATGTAACTCTGCGTGTATCTCTGCATATCTCAGTAATAAATATTTGTTTTGCGAACGACGGCATTTTCTATGTTTAACAGCAGAGTGTGGTACTTCAGAAAGTTAGAATTCGCTGATATTTTCCCTAATTGAACTTTCTAGTGTAATAATTTATCGTTTGCGTGATTTTGATTTGCTGTTTCGTGAATGATGGCTTTTTCCGGAAGTGAAAGGGAAGCTCTTGGTGTTGCGCCCTTTGATGGTGTTAATAACTTTACTGTTTGGTGTTGAAGAGTTCAAGCAGTATTTACTGCAAGGGAATTGGATACATTTTTGGAAACAAAAGCAATTGCGGACAGAGTTGCAGATGTTTTGAAATCAAAAAAGGCTTATGCCTTAATACTTGCGCTTCTAAGTGATAATGTTATTGCTTCTCTTCAACATGAAGACACACATGTAAAATATGGAAGAAACTACAAGCTACGTATAGCGGTAAAGATGCAGTGAGTCAAATTTTAACGCGTAAACGTCTAGCTACCATAAGGAAATCCAAGGATGTGTCAATGAGACAGCAAAATTTTATGCTCCGAATTTTATAAATTACTAACATAAATATTCCACTTTAATATTAAAAGTTAATGATGATATAATCAAATAAATGATTGTTTTGTAATGTTATTATAGTTTTGAAAAAAATCACTGCCCGAAAATGGTCATTAAATTTTTTTAAAAAAATTATCAGATCTTGTTTAATTTTATCTTATTTATTTCAAAGCATCACGTACTATCAATCTCATTTAATTTTACGTTATTTGTACGCAAAATTAACTTCATAAATTTTGTGCCTAGAATTTTTACCGTTTTACCAAAGTAAAGATGTTTGTACAAGAATTACGTGTGAAAAGAATGCGCGAAATGCAGTAAAAAGTACTTTAATGAGATATATTAAATCCTATTTGGAAAAAACTGTGGCTTTCATAATGTCATTGACTATACAACGTATCACATTTAATAATTAAAATGAGTTATGTGATACAAACGCCATAGGTTTCAGTGTTAAAGTAAACCAGATCATCCCTACTCTTTCTTGCCGACATGTGGGTGATGCGCGCTCCGCCCACTGGGTTAGTCTATCTCTTATGAGGTCCATAGTCAGATATGCTACCTGCAGCCACTCAACACAGGGTAACCTGACAGTCACTCCCACAGTAATGACCAAAAAACTCCCCAGTAGTTATCAAATGATACCCAAGTAAGCTCCCCCCCCAAAGAAGTTAGGTGGGAAACTTTTCAGGCAGCCCTCGTAAGCACAACCCTACCTTCTCTCTCTCCTTTTAGTTCTCACTAAAGAAATTCCATATGAGGTTTTCGCACGCGAAAGTATGTCACCCGGGGATTATAGGAGTATGCCACATGATGAACTGGAACTGTGGTATACCTTCAAAATAAAAAATTCAAGAACCATTACCATACAAAACGTGTTAAAATTTTTTGACATTTGAGGCTAACGCCCAGGAGCATGACCATATGTGATTTGCACCTAAGTCTTCATATTTTCACAAGCATCGAGCATCAGTAGAGTACCGAACGGATAGACCTACAGATCTGAACGAAAAATCCAGGCTCAACGTCCCGCCCAAGAGGAGGAGCCAATGCACATACCATGCACTCAGCAAATCAAGACCCATGCGATTCACTTGATGATAATTTTGAATTCCCAAAGCAGAGCTCTAAACTTCCTATAGTAATTACGGACTCTACACTAAAATGGAAACAATTTACTAAAATTCTTGGCGATGCCAAACTACAAGGCTTTAAGGCACATATGAAAGCAGATAATGAGTTCCACATCAAAATCTTTACCATTACCGCTCATAGCCAATTCATTGCACTGCTTGACAGCAAAAACCTACCAGCTAGCGTGTGACACCTACCAGCTAGCGTGTGACACCTACCAGCTAGCGTGTGACAAACATCTCAAAGTGATAATTAGAAGTCTGTTTAGTTTTAACAGCTCAGTAGAAATCCAGGATGAGCTAGTAACACTCAGCGTTCCGGTCAACAAAGTCTTTCAACTAACACGTCGAAGAGATCCAGAGATAGTAAAACATGCCTCTCTTCTTAGTACCACTGAAACGTTCTGAGAAAGCCAAAGAAATTCCCAATTTGGATTTCCTCTCGAGACTCAGAATCAAAGTGGAAAGATACGAGGGCAGAAGAGGTCCTATGCTGTTCTTCCCCTGCCAGAATGCTTTCAATACGTAGGCAAATTGCAAGCACAGACCGAGGTATGTTAAATGTGGAGCCGAACAAGAGTTGAGAGATGGTGTAAACCCCATCTCTGAGTCCTCAATCTGTGCTAACTGTGGATTATGACATACATCAAACTACAAAGGTTGTCTATGCTAACCCCAAACTTGCTCTGCTAAAGTCGTCCCAGATGTCACTTATGCAGGCACTGTCATTCAAATCAGTGCCATACCAAAACAAAGTCCGACATCTCCAGAAGTATTAACACAGAAACTTGAAGAAAAGACTGTTATAAGGTCAATTCACGGAGGCTCTCGCCATGTAAAAAGACACAATGCAAGTCCTCCCGGTTCTCACCCAGGGGAAATTACAGCCAAAAACTCGCCTGTGAACCATGGATAATAGCACCAATAACATGTGTTCCCCATTGAAAATCGTTCTATGGAACGCAAACAATCTCACCAACAAACCGCACGAATTACATGACTTCCTCTCTGTGAATGATATAGACATTTGCATGAACACGGAATCTCACGCTACGTATTCACACAGTCTGAGAATAGCGTACTTTGTCTCACATTAAAGTGACAGACTTCACCACCGTGGCGGCGGTTTTCTGATAAATGTGAAAATGACTCTTGATTCCTGTTTTATTTATGCGGAAAATTACAACGGCCATAAAGCCATGAAAGTGTGCATTACAGTCCCTAAATTTGGTCCCACGGTTAACTGCGCAATTCACAACACCCCAGCAAAGCTTCTTAGCGTAAATCATAAAGACACCTTTTTAAATTCTAACATGCCTACAATAATTG